CAACCCATGTACGGTCAGCCCATACTTATCTCATGTGGGTTCAATGTGGTCAGCCCACATGGGCTTCCCATGTTGGGCCCGTGATACTGAAACTACATGGGCCCCACATAGTGTTGCCCACTTCTGCCCCATTCACAGTTAGCCCACATTAATGCTGAATGGGGCCCATATGTTTAGCCCAAATGGGCCAGCCCAAGTGGGCCCCATTTTAGGTTACCATATCGGTCCCATACAGTTAGCCCAGATAAAACCCATGCCCACTCATAACCCATGTAGCCCACATCAAACCCAAGTGGGGCCCACCTATCCATGCTGGCTGGGTCCTTAGACAGAGAAAAATTTACCTGCAGAAAAAGGCATGAAGGCTTCTCTCTTCCTAAATTTACCGTCCTGGTCCAGGAAGTGCTGAGGGTTGAAGGAGTGAGGAGTCTCCCATATGGACTCATCATGGAGGACAGAGTGAAGAGTTGCTATAATCAAGGTTCCCTTGAAAAAGAAAAACATAAAAAATGTTCTTCTCAGTGCTCTACTGTCATTTACAGGGTTCTAACTAGCTTCCTACAGAGTATAACTTGTAAGCATATTTAGATCACAGTCACTTGCCATATTTCTTAGTTACCGCTGTAGTGTAAGAGGCAAATTGACTAAATTTAAATAACACTTTTCTAGTCATGGCGGCCATTTAACGAGCCTCAGTGGACCATGTTTACCTCATGGATTTCACAAACACACAGATTCATAGATTGACAGGCAAATTGTAGGAAAGTTGGGGTTTAGCACCTTCACATTAACATTTGGCAGGAGGAAGTTGGACCTTGACTCACAACTCTTGGATTGCAATAATTAGGCTACTCACTCCACAGGGCCACAGTCGCCCTCATACACTACCTTGGTGTTGTTTGGTAACAATGTTTTTTTTTTTACGTCTGATATTTAATACCTAATATACACTCTAAATGAAATAATGTGGGTTACCTTTGGAATCGAGTATTTATCCAGGGTGGTGTCTTTGGTCGTCATGCGGGCCACATTCAGTGGAAGGATGTTTCCCATCCTCTGTATCTCGTGGATGACGGCGTCAGTGTAGGGCATGCTCTCTCTGTCGGACATGGCGGGTTGTCTGGATGAACCAATCACAGCGTCTATCTCAGCCTGGACTCGCTCTGAACACAATGAAAACTAGTTTTTCTATCTTGTACATGATTTCTCCCAATAAACACATAACACAAAGGTTTGAGGAGATGCATGCAACAGCAACAGATTTGTTTAAGATATTTATCTTATACGAACCTTGAATCTCAGGGTAGTAGATCATGTACAGCAGCCCCCAGTGCAACGTGGTGGTTGTAGTTTCACTTCCAGCACCGAACAGATCCAGAGTGCAAGCGCTCAAGTTGAAAAGATCAAAACCAGAATCTTTGTCCTCTTTCTACCAAAGACACCAGAGACAGGCGTTTAAATGTTTACTATATTTATATTGCTGCTCCAGCATTTTAAACCACCTCCAATGTCTTACTTAACCAGAGTTTCCAATGTTGTTTTATACTTTTGCAGACTTTAATGTCTCTGTACAGAAGAATGTGTGCCACCAAATGAGGAATATGGCCCTCTAGTAAGACGTGAAAACTGATGTTGTCAGACACTCTTTATCAAATCTGACTGAATTTAGGCTGTTTTGTAAAGAAAACTCAGGCCAAATTTTTCTTACATGTGTGAAGCTGGTAAAGAAATTTCACAAGACTTCAAGTTGTAGTTGGGGAACAAGTGTTTCCACAAGCTATTGACTCAAATAATGGAATATAAATTCAAGCACAACTTCCTCTGTGAAAAACAAAAGGACATTTAATAAAAATTTTAGTCCATTCATCTTTTCCCTGCTATGTTGCAATTGTGCTCTATCATGCGTTGGTCAAACTCACAAAAGCCAATAAAGTTCATGGAGGTCTGTGATTGTAAGATGACAAAATGTGAAACATTTAAAAGCAATAAAGAACTCTCAAAATTATGTTCAAAGGCATGTTTTTGCATGTGTTAAGTTATTTTCCTCTGTAGAATGTAGATGTGGTTCATCCCTATGAGAGGATTCTGTTACGCTCTGTAGATAACAAATGGAAAATGAATAAAATAACATTTGAGAGGCTTTCAGGAACCGATGGGAACTTCTGATCAAATAATTCAAGAAAGTTTTGGCTAATCGAAGATAAAACATACTCAAGACATTGAACATCTCACGTAATGAATAAAGGAACCCAAAACTCACCTCTCCCATCTCTATGAGGAAGGAGTCGATGTAGTCTCTTGGAGACGCCGGGTCAAGGTTCTCTCTGTGTTCCTTGATCCGAATTTCTATAAACTTAATGACCTTCTCTATGAGACTGAAGATTTGTCGATGAGGTCCTGGCAGCCACTTCATTACTGAGGGGATTGTGTTGTAAATCTGAAAAGCAAAGAAGATGCATAATTTTTAATGTAAGAAATAGTTTTAATGCTAATATAATATGGGTATACATTAATAGCAATTAATAGCAATAGCATTTTTAAATGTGTTTTGATGACACTTGTACTCATTTTAAATAAACTGTATGTTTTTTGTTGAAAGGTGCATTGTGTTTTTCCACAGCACTGAGAATGACGGTGCAGTCGCAGACAAAGTTACACTTTTCCAATCCTCTGTCGCTCTTAGGCTGCAGCTCAGATAAAAGACTTTCATCTTCAATGCTTGTAAAAAACACTTTTTGGATAGAAGGCTGACCTGTACGAGAAAACTTCCTTGTAAGCGCATAATCTCATTAAAGTCAAGAAGGATAGTCTGGTACTGCTTGTCACTGTACTCAAATCGACTCCCGAAGACCAAACAGCAGATGATGTTGGACACGGCGTTGTTGATCAGTGTCTGGGTATTAAACGCCTTGCCTTTGAAATAATAACAGACTGCAAGCTAAATAAAGCCAAGGAGTAATATACATAAAAAAAACAGAATAAAAAGAAGATGAAAAATTATGCAAAACTGCAGCAATGACAAATTAAATTTTTTTTATTTGATTGTTTGGTTGTTTTGTACCTTGCTGATCAGCAAATGCCTCAGTGAGATATCGGCACTCCTGCTGGGTGTATCGCTCCATGGACTTCTTTCCCAGACCAAAGTTCCTCAAAGTATGAAGAGCAAACCTCCTCTGTACTTTCCATGAATTACCATTAGACATCACAAGGCCTTTCAGAAATAGCAAACTGTGTCAACATTGAGTTTCGTGGAGCCAGATACAAATGATATTGCTTAACATGAAAGAGTGACTTAGAAAGAAATCAACAGGGATGTAATGAGACACCAGCACCTTTGTTCTTGAAAAACTCAGAAAACAGTGGAATGGTGGGGCGATCCACGAAGTTCTCTCCTTTTTCAACAAGGGCCTCTTTCACATGTTTGTACCCGTTAACGATCACCGTCCTTCCTCCAAAAATATCGAGACTGAAAATGCTGCCATATTTTTCTGCAAACTGAACACAGACAACAGATTTCTGTTTTCAACAAAGTGACATTGAGACACAGTTACTGCCTGAGGAACAAGTTTTACTGTTTGTCCAAAATTCAGGACTATTTGAACTTATTCATCCATTGTCTTCCATTCATGCAAGGCCAGGTCATCGAGGGTAAAAGGACCAGCAGGGAAACCCAGACATCCATCTATCCTGCTGTGCTCTCCACCTCATTTTGCAGCACAGGAAGCAGCCACACTACTTAATTTCTTGATTATAAAAATTGTTTGATGGTACAATAAATTAATGTGATCAAAGATACATTTGAACACTTAATATATCACCATGGTTGAGTTCATGAAGGTCTAAATAAGGAAAGTTTAAAAAAAAAAGAAACAAAGGAGAAAAGAGGAAGAGCATCAAATTTCTGCCCATGTGGGAACTCTAACTGTACCTCTGAAAACTGCAGGTGAAGTCTGCCAGGGTTGATGCGATAAAGATCTCCAATAAACGGCAGAGGCCGTGGTCCTGGAGGAAAGTTTTTTGGTTTTCTGCTCTTTAAGATATTGCTCAGCAGCAGAAACACAAAGAAAAATATCAAGACGCTCCTGGTGTCCAGCCACTCAAAGCCAAGGAGACCGTATAAAGCGTCCATTGTGCTCTGCTAACACAGGTGCAGCTCTGTGAGATCAGCTATGAATGACACTCAAGAATCTCTGAATCTTTTTATATATACCATTCCGTTTACCGGTAATAAAATTATTATGCACTGTGAGTAACTGTCGAGTAAACACGTCATGCTCTGCAAATAGGACAAAGGTGGTGAACATAAAAGCTGTAATAAAAACATTAACAACCCTCTATGTTTCTGCTTCGTTCTGTAATCTGAAGTTCTGTGCTCTTGATCCTCTACATTTTATATTAACTATGTTTGTGTTCAGATTTAAAAAAAAAAAAAAAACATGGAGAAAGACTCATTTTCTACCTCTGACTTGATTAATACATGTGGTATGAAAGACTGAAGTCAACAATTTTAGAGAAAAAAATGACGTTCTCTTTTTATGTTGCTAAATATTCTCCCGTACGACTCGTCTTCAGTCTGTTTCACCTTCATACTGATGGCCTCAAGCAGCACACATTCTCCACACAGCCGCAGAGAAATCGTAGTCAAAAAGTGCTTTGTTTAAATTGTCCAGGCTCTGCTGTATCTTCATACAACATGGATGCATGCTGCATAGTTTCCCCCTCTGCAACCAGCTGGAGCAGGGCCAGCTCCCGCATGTTTCTCCTGTTGTTGTGAGAGTCCTGGGAGGGGAAACTGTTATGTAACTTCCTCACAGTCGCTTCTCACCCAGTTTGCCTGCCACCACCTACATCTCTGTTAAAGGTTAAGCTTTTTAACAAAGCATCTTTCAGGTAAATTTCAAGCTATTTCGATCAATTAGATGCACCGGTCAGCTGCTGCTGAGTTTTCTGTGGCTGCTTTTAAATCGGCTGCTTGTTGTTTGGACTCAAAGGCCCTGAGCGACCCGTCCCACTCGCCCTGTTCTCTAGCCCCCCGGCTGTGCCCCTTCTTAGAAAACAGAGGAAATGGGAGGAGGTATCCTTAGTTTCCGTTTATTTTTACAATCCACAACGGAGAGAAACGTATCTTTCTGCACAGACCAAATATGAGCAAACATGAAATGTAATTTATACATTTTAAAATGAGAGTATGGATTGATGTATAATGCTGGGATATGGGCCAAAGATTTCGCATTAAAATCAGAGCGATGCTGGATTTAGAAGTCCAGGTTACAAAAGAAATCCTCAAAGCATGACTCACGAAAGGTTTCTGGCTACAGGGCAAAATGCTCAGGTACTTGTAGAGTGCAAACCAAGTTCATTTAAATGCATTGTCCTTTTTAAGAAATAACACAAATGCAACATTTCTTTTATTTCTACTAAAACTTTAGAAGCAATAGTCACCTCATTAGATTTGTGAGTTAAAGGAACTTGTTGCATTTATTGCCCCAGCATAAAAATGAATGAGATGACATTTTTGAGGCTTGGTGGAGGTGATGAATCAAAAAATATTTAGGTGAATACGAGACACTGCAACACCATTTATTTGTAAAGTCATGAAAATTTGATGTTTTTCTATAAACAAATTTTCAAGACAAATTTTAATTGTTAAACTGATTGTACATAAAGAGATATAATACTGTTTTTTGGTAATAAAGAAACACTGGACTGCTTAATTTTAATGTTCAGAGGATTGACGGCTGTTGTTTCTTTGCACAATGTAATACAAGAAAAGAGAGGCTGTGTTCAGCTCAGCGGGGCGCGGCGCAGAGGCGGTAAGGCTTGGGAGTGCGAGTTGCTCCCGGTTTGAACTCCAAGCTGGGCTGCTCTCCAGGTGGAGCGGAGAACTTAAACCTCTGGAGGAGGGAGGTGAAGAAGAGGAACAACTCCATCCTGGCCAGCTGCTCCCCGAGACACACACGTTTACCTAAAAACCAAAAATGCAGGAGATGAGGTTTATCGTCACACTGTAGAAAAAGTAGAACATAGCAAATTAGGGTGAGAGGTCATCAGGTGAAGTTGCATGCTGGAAGGTTATGGATTGCGCCCCCTACTGCTACATTTGGGATTTTGCAGCTAAAATACGAGTGCTTGTAGGATCAGAGGTGAGCGAAACTCAAACTCAAGACGCTATGAACATTACTCCATTTTTGCTTGTTATCCGTAACTGAAGGAGCAACATGGGCTTGGTAATCGTTTACTTAATGTTAGACTTTTTGCTGAGTCTGCAGATAATGGATCATTGTATCTACAGCTTATATTTGTTTTGCTACCAAAGTAACTAATTAATGCCGATCATGCTTAACCAGCCTGACATGACTCATTTAGTTTAGTTTTCGTGTCCCAATGAACTTATGAAATCTAAAGTGCTTCCAGATGTTCGCTTTCAAAACACAATCTGGTGTTTAATCTTTCCTTGCTGAGCTTCATTCCTTCTGTTTACTTTGGCACAATGTAAATAGAGGTCCTGCACGCACTTGCTATTTTTCAGAGCTTTCTACTTGCTTCACGTAACTACTTAGGATTCTCTGGTTCTTACTGAGTTCACGACATAATACTCCCCTCCAACTGAACCATTTCCAGGAGGCTTTTTCCAGCTGCTCAGAAGGTGGTGCCCATCTTTAGCAGGTCTTCACACAGATATGAACAAAACAATTACCTGTACACCGGCTCACTCTCAAACATAAGGGCTGTTTAGATTCACAGTTTAGCCTGTGGAAAGAAATTGTAGAACCCAGAAACATGTGATACATGCAGAAGCAGGACGTGTCACCTCAACACAGAAAGGCCTCAGCTAACATCTAACCTGGAGAGGCTTAAAAAAAAAATCAGATGGTTTCCTGTTTCGGATCAATTTTAGCTGGATCAGCTCAGTGTGGTGACTGATGGGAAACCTGACTAGCTATTTCTGCTCAGTGAACTCACAACACGTAAACTCTGCTCTGTAACACTCTTCAGTCTGGAAGTTGTTACTGAAGGAGGAAAGTTAACTTTCTTCAGTATCAGTGAGGAGTTAAAAAAAAGTCACAGGAAGGACAAAAACTGTGAGAAGCTTTAAAAGGAAACTGAGATGCAAATTGTTCATTTAGACCGTTTCAGCAGAGAGAGAGAGAGAGAGTTTTGAATTAGTGAATGAGGGAATCTACCCAGAACCAACTTCATATGATAAGACTATGCAGAAAATGTCACAGTCGGACAGTGTGGTAGTGGGGGTGTTGTCCCATCAAACCATCAATTTCCAAAACAAAACATTAAAAAAAAAAAAAAAAAAAAAAAAACTCATAAAAGTGCACACAGGGTCAGCACAAGCTGGCTGGACTGCGTACAGAGCAAATAGACAGAACAAAAATTGACCACAAAGTTTCTCAATTGTGCACCTATGAAATTAAACCGATTACAAAAACCAGTAATTATTTTTTGCTCTGTCAGTTTGTATGTTTTGAAGACATAGAAGAGAGCTCGACTGTGAAGGACCAAAACAAACGACTGACCTGCAGAAAAAGGCATGAAGGCTTCTCTCTTCCTAAATTTACCGTCCTGGTCCAGGAAGTGCTGAGGGTTGAAGGAGTGAGGCGTCTCCCACATGGACTCATCATGGAGGACAGAGTGAAGCGTCGGAAGAATCATGGTTCCCTGAGAATTAGAAAATATCAGTAAAAAGGATCAATAACATTAGTTGTGAGTTCAAAGCCAGCAGACAAACAGAGACAAGTTTGATCCCTACTCTACTTTAAGGTTTTTCGTTTTATAAGATGAAATGTTAATTTTCAATGATATGCCAAAGATAATTAGATATAGCTGCTCTTTCCCTGGACTGAATGAAATAAGTTTTAATGAAAAGAAGAAACAAATAAACTCATTTAATTTAATTAATTTTAGCTGATAAAGCAAGTGGGAATGAATGGATGGACAGACAGATGGATGAACGGATGTTAGATAATTTTAATATTTAAAAATTACATCATCAGATGGACCAAAATATAGTTAAGTGGAAATTTTGATATTTTAAGGATGAAAATAACAATAATTCATTTAAGTAACAAAAAGTAAAACTAGGCAATATATTTTTTCCATATCAGTTTCTTTTAATAAAAAACAAATGAAACTTTCTTTGGTTTGTTTTTTGGTTAAAACCTGTTTGTTCTTCATTCAGTGAAGTTACTCACAGTGGGTAGAGAATCCAGAAATTTTACTCAATTAAAATTAGTGATACTTCATAATAAAATTACTCAAGTAAAAAGTACAGTCTAGTTAAAATACTCCTAAAAGTACTTTAAAAAAAAAAAAGTAAATGTAATTGAGTAAAAGTAACTAGTTACTACCCAGCTCTGTAGAGCAGCCACTCCTGGATAGGATCACTTCTGCTTTATGTGTAGATATGATTCTCATTGCTGTTCATTCAAATCCGCAAATCTTAAAAGCGGCTTTTTAACCCTTTCCAGGTGAATAGATGTCAGTAACCTTTTATCTGTAACTTTTTTTAACTGTACCTTTGGGATAAAGTATTTATCCAAAGTGGTGTCTTTGTTTGCAAGTCGTGCTAGATTCAGTGGGACGATGTCTCCCATCCTCTGTATTTCGTGGATGACGGCGTCAGTGTAGGGCATGTTCTCTCTGTCGGTCACCGCCGGTTGCCTGGATGGACCGACCACGGCGTCTATCTCAGCCTGGACTCGCTCTGAACACACAGAAAACGAGGTAAAATATGAGTTTTTGCACAGAGATGGAGAAAGTCGTTCTAGATTCAGTGCAATTTAAAGGTAATTAAAGATGATACGAACCTTGAATCTCAGGGTAGTAGATCATGTACAGCAGCCCCCAGTTCAACGTGGTGGTTGTAGTTTCAGTTCCAGCACCGAACAGATCCAGAGTGCAAGCGCTCAAGTTGAAGAGATCAAAACCAGAATCTTTGTCCTCTTTCTACCAAAGACACCAGAGGCAGCTGCGAGAATCTGTTTACCATGCGTGCAGGATATTTGAGAGCGAACAGAAGACTCACCTCTCCCATCTCTATGAGGAAGGCGTCGATGTAGTCTCTGGGAGACGACGGATCAAGGTTTTCTCTGTGTTCCTTGATCCGAATGTCTATAAAGTCAATCAGCTTCTGCAAGAGCGTGAATATTTGTTTATGTGGTCCAGGCACCCACCTCATCAGCCCGGGCATTGAGTTGAAAATCTGAACAGAAAGATGAATGTAGTGAAAATAGTTTTAAAAATAATTTCAATGTTACCTCAAGTGTATAAATAAAAACATAAGTTGACTGGATAGATCCAAAGAACCTTCAAGGCTGAAGTATAAAATTGCATGTGGACAATTTTGCTATAAAACGAGATGTGTTTTTAGAGAGAAGGCGTACCTGAACTGACAAACCTCCCTGTAGGAGGATTATATTGTTGAAGTACTTCAGGATAGTCTGGTACTGCTTGTCGTTGTACTCAAATCGACTCCCAAAGACCAAACAGCAGATGATGTTGGACACGGCGTTGTTGATCAGTGCCTGGCCATTAAACACCTTATCTGTGGAGAATGGAAAGAATGAAGGCCTTTTGTTAAAAGAGTGAATATCTGAAAGGGCAGAAAAAGCTCTAGCTTGGCAAATTAACAGCCAGCTTCTTCAAGAGATCTGACAGTAGATCTCTGTATTCATACGGAGTTTTATGAATACTGTAAAACTCTCAAGCGTCAGGGGAGCAAGAAAGGTTCACCAGTTTAAGTTCACAAGATCGACAGAAGCTGAAAAAAAATTCAGATAGTGATGAATTACTATCTGAATAGTAATTCATACTACATTTCATAGTAGTATGAAATGTTACTACATTTCATACTACATATGAAATGTAGTAACATTTCATATTACTACAATGCCTATACGATATTAGCTGCTGTGAAGATGACTTGATGAAGTTTAACTCAAGCATCGGAATGGAAAAGAAAAGGGGGTCAAGTGACTTGGAAGTGGCATGATTGCTGTTGTTGGGGAAATGGGTTGGGGTATTTCTGAACCCGCTGTCTGAGTTCGAGCACAGTCATCTCTCAGTGTCTCTCAGCATCATTAACGTGATGTAGCAGAGGGTCTGCAGCAGCAGACACACCAGGTGGCATTCCTGTCTTCCAAGTACAGGAAACTGTACGCAGAGTTTGCACAGGCTTACCAAGATACCTTGTCTAACATAAAAATGGTAGGGACACAATTTAAGTGTGAAAATAAATCTTTGTGGAGACCTTGCTGTTCTGAGAAAGCCTCAGTGAGATACTGGCACTCCTGCTGGATGTATCGCTCCATTGTCTTCTTTCCCAGACCAAAGTTCCTCAGCGTATGAAGAGCGAACCTCCTCTGCACTTTCCACGGATTACCGTTAGACATCACAAGACCTGATGGAAAAAGAAACAAATAGCGTCAATATTTAAGTTTGGGTTGTCAGATATTCGTGAACTACATCCACGATCCAAGTGTAAATATATAAATGTACCTTTATTCTCAAAAAACTCAGAAAACAGTGGAATGTTGGGGCGATCTATGAAGTCTTCTCCCTTTTGGACCAGCGCCTCTTTCACATGTTTGTAGCCATTAATGATCACAGCTCTGCCCCCAAAGATGTGCAGGCTGAAAATGTTTCCATATTTCTCTGCAAGCTGAAGAAAGAGAACTAATGAGAATTTCGCTGCAGTGTTTTTCAGGCCCGCTTGAATAATTACTTCTCCCTACAAACATGATGGCAGCTGAATAGTGCAGAGTAAACAAATCCACAGAAAATGGACCTGAAGTTCAAATGTCAGAGTACAACTACCTACAAATAGGATTTCAAGTAAATTCATTTCCACAAAAACAGTTCCTGCCTTTTTTTTTTCTTTAAGAAATATGTTATAGATGTTTTTTATGGCATAAACACTGCCATAAAAAAAAAACACAGTTTGCACAGGCTTACCGAGCCTGTGCAAACACTGCATGATTTATCATGTGTCATTTATTAGTAAGCTATAAAAGGAGTGACACAGAAATGATAGAGCAACCATTAAAGTTCACAATCAGTTCGTGTCAAAACACAGCTGCAACCAATATTTTTCTCTTATCTATGGTGAGTTTTCATTTTTTCTCCAAAGCATTTGGGATGTTAAAAATATTATGTCAATATTATCAAGTCGATCTGCAGATGATGGTCCATATTTCATTTGCATTTACTCTGAATTTTCTTCAGTGTTTATATTAAAAAAATGTTATATTTAAATGCCCATTTTAGTCCATAAAGTATTACTATATTAATATATAGCAATAGGCCAAACTTCTATAGTTCCACATTATGAGTTTGATTATTTCATTAAAATATACGTATAAAAACATAAATGATTGTAATGTCACTTCTGCCTATGTCAGCAGTTCACCTCTGAGAACTGCAGGTGAAGTCTGGCAGGTTTGATGCGGTGAAGATCTCCAATAAATGGAAGAGCCAGCGGTCCAGGAGGAAAGTTTTTCGGTTTCCAGTTCCTCAAAACGTCGCTCAGCAGCAGAAAAACGAAAAGAAAAATTAAAATAGCCCTGGTGTCGAGCCAGTCTAAACCCAGAACATGCTGTACTGCCTCCATCTCTTCACTGCTCTACTACAACTCAGTCGGGCGGGTTATGAGGGTATACTACAGAGTCCATATCACTTTCAAAATAAAAGCTTTTCTGCACTTTTATAAGTGACAGGTGTGTTTTGGGTCGGCTTTAATCAAAGAGATACATTTTTGCTGTTCATATTTTTTATTTATTTTTTGGTAAAATAAGATTTTTGCTGGATGTGCAGTCAGTCAGTTTGTGCCATAATTGGGTATTTCACGGCTTCTGAAAAACATAATTTTTTAAAAAAAAACACGATTCCGATAATTTATCTTTTTCTATTGGGCCGCACAATGAAAATCACCTAAAATCAAGAAGTTTTTTTGTCTGTACTTAAGTTTTGTTGGTTTTTCTGTGTGGGGTTTAGATATTCTCCATGGTTTTGTTTAGGTGATCCTGGACCTGTCGGACCACATGAAGGAGTGTATGTGAGACTGTTTGATTGTGTTGAGTTGTTTTTTTTGTTGTTGTTGATCAGGAATAGACAATAAACCAGAAACCTGATCCAATTAATTTAATTTTTGTCATTTTACAGCTGAGTCGACTCTGGTTGTTTATAAAAAGAAAATGGGTGCAGAAAAGTGATGGACTGATGTGTATTTGTTCAGATTATGTTCAGTCATGTGAAAACATTTTGCTAAATTAAATTCTGGATATTTTAATCATGTTTGTTGCAGTGTCATGGTATGGACCGTCCTGACATCAGGACGGATGTCGAACTTTGGACTTTCTTTCTGCAAGTCAGCATCACTAATTTAAACCCTGGACTTCTTTTCTTTGTATGACAGCACCGGAATGAACCATTTTCTCTATTGTCATATCTGCTAATGATTGTGCTAAAATGTTGAGCTCTTACACATGGATGGCTTTGAAAAGTCTCTAAAAATAAAAAATAAAAGTTGCCATGGAGCATAATAAAACATGTCATCCAAAACTGGTTAAGTTATTAGGACTGCCTACTGACCCCGGTGCACTATGCATTCTTCCAGTCTGCAGTTGTCTGGAACATTATCAACTCTGGGCGTGTTTATTCCTGTTAACGGGTCCAGAGAGGCCACCAGTATTACATAACTCTACTGGAGCCAGGTTTTTTTTTTTCTTTTTCTTCGACATCTGCCTTCCTGTCTTAGCACACTCTGCACAGAACAAACTGCAAGAACAAGCTCAATTTTCATCTTAGCCGGGCCATTCTTACAATTTTCTTCACCATGATTTTCCAAGCTCTTTTTGATTGCATGGACTTTACCGGCTGGCTTCTGCTAGGGTTTGTATTCCTGCTGATATTTGATGTTGTGAAAAACTGGAGGCCTCCCAACTTTCCACCGGGACCCTGGGCTGCACCTTTTGTAGGAAACATCTTAACGCCGTTGGACTTCAAAACAATGGAGAAGGTGAACGAGAATGCTTGTTTATACAGGTGCTGGTCATAAAATTAGAATATTGTGATAAAGTTCATTATTTTCCATAATGTCATGATAAAAATTAAATTGTCA